AATATATACCAAACATGTCACATGTTAAAATTGCACACGCCTGTGCACCAGTGACAAATTACATAAATTTTACTATCCGTAGGTGACACTTTAAAAGCCTTTACAGGTTACCAGTGTAGATTACAGAGGAGGTCTGGTACCTGAATTGCTGCCCATGAGCTGATGTTCGTGGTGATGCCTCGTGTGGGAAAATTACGGGACCAATGTGTGTGTTTGCCTTTGCATGGGGGGACCAGGGTGCTTTTTAAAAAAATTTTTACACTTGCTTTTTTTTTTATCACTTTTATTTGTTGACACGGGTTATAAATATCCCCTGTGATAGCAATAGGCAGTGAGCTACTCTTTATGGAGAGATCTGGAGTTCATTAGATCCCATAACATGCTAATCGGATGCTGGTTTTCCAGCATGGTCATTCGATGGAAGCTGGTTGTGAGACTGGCTTCTGTCGGACGAGTAGCTGTACACAAGGGCTGAAAGTCAGCCGGTTTCTGCCAGACAGACAGTTTTCGGACGATTTTCGCCCCTGTGTGTACCCAACTTTAGAAAGCTATTCCAGGGCAATCCTGTGCATCCAACACTGGAGAGCGTGCATATAGCTAGCAAGAGGTTGGAGGAGATCAGCAGCACTGAGATAGAAATATGTAAGTGGGGAAAATAATTGATCCCCCGCAGATTTCGTACAGTTGTGGCCAAAATTATTCAACCCCCAATGCTGTAAAGGGGTTTAGGGACTATAGTGTACATTTGGAATTGTATTCAGAATCAAATCCTACAAGGACGTTGTAACTACCCAAATGCAACTAAAATGACATCAATTGTTTATGTAATACAGTAGTAAATGGTTCTTATGTGGTTTCTTCATTGCCACAATTATTCAACCCCTTAAAGACTACCACTCTGAAGAACAGAGGTTCATACAGGTGCTTTCCATCAGGTATTGAAAACACCTGTGGATGTCACCGAGCAGCAATCAAGCATAATAAGCACCAATTAGGCAGCTTTAAAATGACTGTGATACTCAGCTCCTTCTAGACATTTACTGGTGTGGTTACAAACATGGTGAAGGCAAGAGAATGGTCCAGGAAGACAAGAGAAGAGGTGATTTCTCTTCACAGGAAGGGCAATGGCTATAAGAAGATTGCAAAGATGTTAAACATACCAAGAGACACCTTAGGAAGCATCATTTCGCAAATTCAAGGCAAAGGGCACTGTTGAAACGCTACCTGGTCGTGGCAGAAAGAAGATGCTGACTTCGACTGCTGTGCGCTACCTGAAGCGTAGAGTGGAGAGAAGTCCCCGTGTGACTGCTGAGGAACTGAGAAAAGATTTGTCAGATGTGGGTACAGAAGTTTCAGCCCAGACAATAAGACGCACACTGCGTAATGAAGGCCTCCGTGCCAGAACTCCCAGGCGTACCCCCTTGCTGTCTCCAAAGAATAAGAAGAGTCGACTGCAGTATGCCAAAAGCCATGTGGACAAACCACAAAAGTTGTGGGATAGTGTTCTGTGGACTGATGAAACAAAATTAGAACTGTTTGGGCCCATGGATCAACGCTATGTTTGGAGGAGGAAGAACAAGGCCTATGATGAAAAGAACACCTTGCCTACTGTGAAGCATGGTGGAGGGTCAATCATGCTTTGGGGCTGTTTTGCTTCTGCAGGTACAGGGAAGCTTCAGCGTGTGCAAGGTACCATGAATTCTCTTCAGTACCAGGAGATATTGGATGGAAACGTGATGCAGTCCGTCACACACACCTGAGGCTTGGGAGACGTTGGACCTTTCAACAGGACAATGATCCCAAGCATACCTCCAAGTCCACTAGAGCATGGTTGCAGAGGAAAGGCTGGAACATTTTGGAGTGGCCATCGCAGTCACCAGACTTAAATCCCGATTGAGAACCTCTGGTGGGACTTAAAGAAAGCATTTGCAGTGCGCAAGCCTAAGAATGTGACTGAACTGGAGGCCTTTGCCCATGAAGAATGGGCGAAGATACCCGTAGATCGCTGCAAGACACTTGTGTCAAGCTATGCTTCACGTTTAAAAGCTGTTATAACTGTAAAAGGATGCTGTACTAAGTACTAAGATTGAATGTCACTTGGGGGTTGAATAAAACTGATAATGCTGTGAGCACAGAAAAGACATTTGTGGTTATTTCATTATAACTGTTATTGTTATATTTTGTCTGACCTACAAGTGCCTCTTTAATGTAAATGTAAGCAAGATGACTGAATGATCAAAAGCAATGTCAAACTGGCCAAAACACTCATTTCAGTGGGGGTTGAATAATTTTGGCCACAACTGTAAGTGTGCCCACTTATTAAGAATTGAAGGGTGTATAATTTTTATCATGTGTATTTTAAATGATAGAGACAAAATATCAACAAAAAATCCAGAAAAAAAACCCACAATACAAATGGTATAAATTGAATTGCAGTTCAGTGAGTAAAATAAGTATTTGATCTCCTACCAACCAACAATAATTCTGACTCCCACAAACTGGCTATGTGCTCATGTGGTACTCAGATTAGTCCTGTCAATTTAAGAAGGTGCTCCCAATGACAGCTCATTGTGTGTATAAAACAGCCTTTCTCAACCAGGGTGCCTTCAGGCTTCTTCAGGGTGCCTTGGCAAAATTCACAAAAATTGTATACAAGCCAGCAGGTGGAACAATCCTGCCTTTTAGTACACAAAGCCACAGGTTTTCATTGTGCACTTTTATGACCTTGTAGCTGTCAGCATCTTAACAACCAATAACATCATCAGTTGATAAGAAGGATGTCGGGTGCATGCACATCATCCTTGTTTGGCCTTCCCTGCCCCTCTCTGTGAGCACTTGGGTCACATTAGCAGAGTGAGGGCGAGAAAATGAGACACATTGGAATACTAGGTCGGTACCAGTGTGCAAAGGTGTATTTGCTTTGGAAGAATAAATCATGTCTAACGTTGGGTGTACTGGATGTGTGTAGAATAGTTTTTTACATTTTAGATTGGGGTGCCTTGAGATTGTGCAGAAAATTTTAAAGGGTGCCTTGAGATTGTGCAGAATTTTAAAGGGTGCCTTGAGATTGTGCAGAATTTTAAAGGGTGCCTTGAGATTGTGCAGAATTTTTAAAGGGTGCCTTGAGATTGTGCAGAATTTTAAGGGTGCCTTGAGATTATCCAGAATTTTAAAGGGAGCCTTGATTGAAAAACATTTGAGAAACACTGGTGTAAAAGACACCTGTCCACAGAATCTCTTTCTTCCATTCAAACCTCACCACCACGGACAAGACCAAAGAGCTGTCAAAGGACATCAGGGACAAGATTGTAGACCTGCACAAGGCTGGAATGGGCTACAAGACCATCAGCAAGAAGCTTGGTGACAAGGAGACAACTGTTTGGAGTGGTTATTTGCAAATGTAAGAAATACAAAATAAACAGCAATTGTCCTCGGTTTGGAGCTCCATGCAAGACTTTGCCTCATGGGGTAATGATGAATCATGAGAAAAGTGTGGGATCAGCCCAGAACTACACTGGAGGAGCTTCTGAATGATCTGGAGGCATTGGTAACACAATACGCCGACATGGATTGAAATCCTGCAGTACCTGCAAGGTCCCCCTCCTCAAGAAGGCACATGTACAGGCCCATCTGAAGTTTGCCAATGAACATCTAAATGATTCAGAGAAGAATTTGGAGAAAGTGCTGTGGTCAGATGAGATCAAAATTTAGCTGTTTGGCATTAACTCGACTCACCATGTTTGGAGGAAGAACAAGAACTGACTATGGCCCTAAGAACACCATCCCTACAGTCAAGAACGGAGGTGGAAACATTTTGCTTTGGGGCTGTTTCTTGACTAAAGTTACAGGCCGACATTGCCTCATTAAGGGTCCATGTATTGTAACGTCTTGGATGAGAACCTTATTCCCTCAGCCAGAACACTGAAGATGGGTCCTGGATGGGTCTTCCAGCATGACAATGACCCAAAACATACCACCAAGGCAACAAAGGAGTGGCTCAAGAAGAAGCACATTAAGGTCATGGAGTGGCCTAGCCAGTCTCCAGACCTTTATCCTATAGAGGATTTATGGAGGGAGCTGAAACTTCAAGTTGTCAAGGATCAGCCAAGAAACCTTAAGGATTTAGATAAGATCTGTAAAGAAGAGTGGACCAAAATCCCTCCTGAGATGTGTGCAAACCTGGTAACCAACTACAAGAAACGTCTTGGCTCTGTGCTTGCCAACAAGAGTTTCTCTACCAAGTACTAAGTCATGTTTTGCTTGGGATCAAATACTTATTTTGCTCACTGAACTGCAACTTATTTTATAACCTTTGTATTATGTGTTTTTTTTTCTGGATTTTTGGTTGATATTCTGTCTCTATCATTTAAAATACACCTATGATAAAAATAATAGACCCTTCATTTTCTTGTGGGAAAATTTACAAAATCTACAGGGGATCAAAAATAATTTTCTACACTGTATGAAAATAAATTGTAAAGAGTTTTATGAAGAAAAAAAAGCTGTTTTTATCATATGTGGTGCTTTATCTAGTTGAATGTCTTCCAGTTATAATTTACAGACTTTCTTTAACCAGCTGCCGACCGCAGATAGCCGAATGACGGCTTCACTGCTGCCGGTCAGTTCTGGGTGGACGTCATATGACGTCCTCCCAGAACGCGCTCTCCTGTGCGCCCCAGGGGGCGCGCACCCGGCGATCTCCGTGATCGCTGTGTCCTACGGACACAGCTGATCACGTGATGTGGTAAAAGGCAAATCACAGCGGCCTTTTACCACGTGATCAGCGGTGTCCAATGACACGCTGATCAGAGGGAAATGCAAGTGCCGGTTCTCGGCTGCACTTTCCTCACGCTGTCAGATCGTGAGGAAAGTACTGCCGAGAACCGGCAGTTGTCAGAGCGGGGATCAGCACCGATCATCAGGGCACTGATGGTCAGTGCCCTGATGATCAATGCCCAGCAGTGCCACCCGCAAGTTCCGCCCAGCAGTACGCCCACTAGCTCCGCCCACCCGTGCCCAGCAGTGCACCCACCTGTGCCCAGAAGTGCACCCACCTGTGCCACTCTGCAGTGCCACCTACCTGTGCCCAGAAGTGCCACCCACCTGTGCCACCCACCTGTGCCACCCACCTGTGCCCGCCCCCACCTGTGCCCACCCACCAGTGCCCGCCCACCAGTGCTGCCAGTCAGTGCCACCAGTCAGTGCCGAGGGGTTGTGCCAGTCAGTGCTGCCAGTCAGTGCCGTCTATCAGTACCCATAACCAGTGTCGCCTATCAGTGCCGCCTATCAGTGCTGCATATTAGTGCCCGCCTATCCGTGACCCCTAATTAGTGCTGTCTATCAGTGCCGCCTATCCGTGCCACCTCATTAGTGCTGCCTATCAGTGCCGCCTATCAGTGCTGCCTCATCAACGCACATCAGTGAAGGAGAAAAAATACCTGTTTTGAAAAATTTTATAAAAGAAACAAACTTTTTTTTTTTTTCAAATTTTTTGCACTTTCTTTATTTATAGCGCAAAAAGTAAAGCGCCCAGTGGCGATTAAATACCACCAAAAGAAAGCTCTATTTGTGAGAAAAAAAAGATCAAAATTTCATATGGGTACAATGTTGCATGATCGCGCAAATTGTCAATCAAAGTGCGGGCAGCGCTGAAAGCTGAAAATTGGCCTGGTAAAGAAGGGGGTATAAGTGCCTGGTAGGCAAGTGGTTAAAGCTAAACTTCAGTCAGACATAAAAGGCACAAACTAACGCAGCTCTGTAGCTCTGTATTTATTAATATGTAAGTACAGTAACAAATTATATCCTTGTTTTTTACCAATAATCCACACACATCCACTACTTAATGGCTCTGTCATCTGCTTTTCATAAAACTGTTTCTTACTGTGTTATTTTGCCTGTTTGTAACATCCTCTGTGAACTTCCCAACCTCTTCTTTCCCCTCACTTCTGTTTGGAAAGAGCAGTGCATGTTAGTTGCAGTCATGTTCAATGCGCTATCATACTATATATCCCAACGTCCATCTCGGGAGCAAGTAAGACAGAGTGGCTATGTTCTTACATACAGTGGCACAAAAAGAACATTGGGGAACTGGAGAAAGTACAGTGAAGGGCAACCAAACTGATAAGAGGCATGGAGGAGATCAGCTATGAGGAAAGATTAGAGGAACTGAATTTATTCTCTCTTGAGAAGAGGAGATTAAGGGGGATATGATCTCCATGTATAATACATAAGGGGGATATGATCTCCATGTATAATACATAAGGGGGGATATGATCTCCATGTATAATACATAAGGGGGATATGATCTCCATGTATAATACATAAGGGGGGATATGATCTCCATGTATAATACATAAGGGGGGGATATGATCTCCATGTATAATACATAAGGGGGGATATGATCTCCATGTATAATACATAAGGGGGGATATGATCTCCATGTATAATACATAAGGGGGGATGTGATCACCATGTATAATACATAAGGGGGGATATGATCTCCATGTATAATACATAAGGGGGGATATGATCTCCATGTATAATACATAAGGGGGATATGATCTCCATGTATAATACATAAGGGGGGATATGATCACTATGTATAATACATAAGGGGGGGATATGATCTCCATGTATAATACATAAGGGGGATATGATCTCCATGTATAAATACATCAGTGGTTCATATAGTGAACTCGGTGTAGAGTTATTCACCCTGAGGTCATCACAGAGGACAAGGGGGCACTCTTTACGTCTGGAGGAAAAGAAATTTAATCTGCAAATATGGAAAGGTTTCTTCACAGTAAGAGCTGTGAAAATGTGGAATAGACTCCCTCAGGAGTTGGTTCTGGCCAGCTCAGTGGATTGCTTTAAATAAGTCCTGGATTCTTTCCTAGATACACAGAATATAACTGGATACTAACATTTATAGGTAAAGTTGATCCAGGGAATATCCGATTTCCTCTCAGGGGATCAGGAAGGAATTTTTTTCCCTGCAGGAGCAAATTGGATCATGCTTTGCTGGTTTTTTTTCCCTTCCTCTGGATCAACTGTGGGTCTAGGATTTATAACTTTTATTTTTTTTTAATGGTTGAACTGGATAGACATTCGTCTTTTTTCAGCCAGACTAACTATGTAACAATGGCAAACAAATGTAGTCACCCTCTAACAGGAAGTCTCATCAAAGAGGTAAAAAAGGGGATATGGTGGAGGCTTAGAGCAATAGATAGGACTTTTTGATTTTAAGTGGTAGTCAACTCTCTGTATTCAAAATCTGCTGACAGGTAGGTTTTTATAACAGAAACGACTCTAGTGGTCTCTTCTGTCCTAAATTTAATTGTTGTTTATTACAGGTACTTATATAGCACCATCAATTTACAGAGCGCTTTACTCACTCACACACACACACACACACACACACACACTGTACATTCGCATCAATCTTTGACCCTCAAGGAGCGTACAATCTAAGGTCCTTAATTCATACATACACATACTAGGGCCAAGTGCCAAGTTACCTACCAGCATGTCTTTGGAGTGCGGGAGGAAGCCGGAGTACTCTGAGGAAACCCACGCAGGCACAGGGAGAACATGGAAACTCCAGGCAGGTAGTACTGTGGTTGGGATTCTAACCAATGACCCTAGTACTGCCAGGCGAAGTGCTAACCATTTAGCCACTGTGCTGTCCAAATGTCCCTCCTGCTTGTCAGCGTCTAATGTGATCTGGGGAGCTGTGACAAACGCTGCACTGTCATAATGTGCACACTAGTATATTACAACTGCAGGGAACCGGATTTTTTATTTTTAGAACACTTTGAATACAATAATAGAATATATGCTTTTTTTTTTTTTTTTTTTAACCAGAGTTTAGTGTCGCTTTAAATGTAGTTTTACAATACAAGCAGTGTACCTGAATTTGACATTTTATTAGTCCCTTTACAGCACAGCTCAAACTGGGGAGCGAGGAACAACACCAGTCCCTGTGCAGTGGGGCTCAGACTGGGGAAAAAGAAGCATCACAAGGAGCCAGTCAGGTGTGCTGTAGAGCTCATGTGTGAACAAGCCCTTACATACTTTTTAGCACATTTTGCATAATACAGGATCTAATACAGGATTTTTTTCTTCATTAAAAATATATTGCAGTACCTGCAATATATTATATATTCATCAAACGGATCCCTCTATGACCAGTCCCTACTCTTCCTTGCTAAATGCCAGGTACAATATGCATCACCATGTCTGAGAAACAATATTTTTTAACATTCTGTGTTGATTTACGAAAGTCAGTTAGGATTCTCTGTTTGCAGCATAGGAAACTAAAAAGTAACCCTATGATAAGTCAATGTGGGGCATTAGAGACTGAACAAGCTTCAGACTTTTCTGCAGGAAGGTCCCCAAATAGTGCTGTTTTCATAAACCAGAATGCAACCCACAGCAACCAAATCCACTGTGCTCCAGTCTTATAAATAGGCCTTCAGGTTGGCTTCAGCTTCCAGAGCACAAATGCAAATCAGGACATTTTGTGGGGGTAGACCTGGGATTATATATGCATGCTGCTACTACTGTGGGATGGAGAACTACTGTACAAAGCCTGACTCCCTTTGCATTTTATATGAACAGAGATTTAGAGTTGGAAAGCCTGAATGTGACTTTTACTTGCATTGTATGTCAGTTGGATCTGTCAGTTTGGTCTCTGCATGCGTGTCCTTGACTTGATACATTGACCCCTTCCGAGTTACAGCTGTCACTTGGCAAGCATGTCTTTCTAGGGAAAGGGTCATTGTCCACAGTTCACAGATATCGATGAATGAAATGCACTGTTTTTAACAGGTCAAGAGTCTACATCGGGAGATTGTGAGAGCCCAGGAAGATGTTTAGTGCTGTTTGCAGGCCGAGATTACACGTTTTTGGTTCCTCCGCTGTAGTCACCATTGCTGTGTATGATCACCCAATCTCAAACTTAAATAAAATCATTAGCAGGAAAGAACTTGAATGGTGTTGGGATGGTGAGCCTCTTTGTCATTGTCCTCTGTAAACCATGGAAATAAAATGGTGGAAAATTGAATTTGATTCAGTCTATATTGTGCTTGTGCCAACTTCAATTTTTATGTATTATTTCCAGATTGTTTAGTGTGAAGGGAGAGCGTCCATAACATTCCCCTTCTGTGAATCTTCACAAATAAAAAAGAAATATGTATATACTGGATTCATCCAGATTTCAAATTAATCAGATATTTAAGCAGTAGTAAGCTTCACTTTTTCACTAGTACCTACAGGTAGCGTCTGATAAAGCTTACCTGTAAGTACAGTGAATATTGCCCAAACTTGCATCATTTAGGAGGTATTTACAATTTCATCAGCTGATGACATCACCTGCGCATGCGTATCCTCAATTCAGAGTGCCGTGATTGTGACTCCTGAGCGCATGCACAGAAAAGATGACATCGCGACCTGGCTATGCGTTTGGAATGCACAGACCCAGAAGGAAGATGTGTGAAGAGGGAAGCACTGACAGCGTGTGGCTAGAGGGCTTCGTTTACAGGGTAAGTCTGCCATAATGTGCTAGTTTGCATTGCAGAGCAGGGTGTGACAGTGTGTTACTCCTGGCCCTTTAGGACAGGGGTGGGCAAACTTTTTTGACTTGAGGGCCGCAATGGGTTCATATATTGGACCCGGGGGTCGGACCAAGAGTAGATGAATGATGTGTATGTGTCATCCATAGTAAGTATAGTAATATTCCCCCCATAGTAAGCATAGTAATTCATCCCCCATATAGTAATTCATCCCCCATATAGTAATTCATCCCCCATAGTAATTCATCCCCCATATAGTAATTCATCCCCCATATAGTAATTCATCCCCCATATAGTAATTCTCCCCCATATAGTAATTCATCCCCCATATAGTAATTCATCCCCCATATAGTAATTCATCCCCCATAGTAATTCATCCCCCATATAGTAATTCAGTCCCCATATTAATTCATCCCCCATATTAAGTCCCCAAGTCCCACCTGTGTCAATTCACTTACCTTTGCTCCACGCGTTCCTCTCGCCGTGTTCCCGCGCCGTTCCGGTGTAGCATGAAAATCTGTCTCCTATGAGGATCTGTCCCCCTCGACGTATCTGCGCATGTGCCAG